TCTTTTCAAAGTTCTGGAATGACATTTGAGCATTGTGGTTTTTTTGTTTTTTGTTTTGAAGGGGGAGAGATAATTAGTTTTATTTGTTTTTATTCATTTATTTTTTAATGGAAGTACTGGGGATTGAACCCAGGACCTTGTGCCTGCTAGGCAGGCACTCTACCACTGAACCATACGCTCCCCCAAGCACTGCGTTTTTTAGTTTTATTTTTTATTGAATGTAGTTGATTTATAGTTAGTTTCAGGTGTACAGCAAAGTGATTCAGTTATACGTATACATACATCTACATTTTCTTTTCAGACTCTTTTCCATTACAAGAAATTGAACATAGTTCCCTGTGCTATACAGCAGGTCCTTGTTGTTTATCTCTTTTATTAGTAATGTAAACACTGCTTTCTACTTTGCATTTCCCTCTCAGGTATTGTTTGATTTGAGCCTCGCAGAAAAGAGGACGAGCCAGCTGAGAGGTGCAACATGAGCTGGGCATTGGGGTGGTGAAATCTGAAAATCTTGTCTGCTCTTCTTGAGTTTCCCAGTGACTAATGTATTTAAATAACTGCAACCAGTTCAACTGCGTGGGTTTTTTGATTTCCGCTCGGAGGAGGTTCCGGGTTCAATCCCCGGGACCTCTTGGGTGCTGAGCATGCTCTGTACCGCTTGAGCGAGACCCTTCCCTCGACTGCACGGGTTTTTTTGGAAAAAAAGAAAAAAAATTTTTTTTGAGAGGGATGGGAGAGGGAGAGAAGAAGGGGTAAATGAATGGATAATGGATGGATAATTTATTGCCAATAACAATCAGTCCAAGTCAGATCTCCTTTCTTCTTCCCATGGAGGTTTATGCAATTTCCTCTATGAAATTTCGTCACATTGTGTTATATTTTCTGGTTTAACATTTCCCCCCTCAAGGAGAGGCAGGGTCCATGTTTTATTTACCTTTGTAACCCCAGCATCTCCGTTCTCTTTTGTCTCTTAATATAGACATGCACATGATTCTATGTTGAGAAGTGTATACATTTTTAAAATTTATTTTAATTTTTGGGGAGGAGGTAATTAGGTTATTTATTTATTTTAACGGGAGGTACTGGGGATCGAACCTAAGACCTTGTGCATGCTAACGATGTGCTCTACCTCTGAGCTACACCCTCCTCCGCAATATTTCTTCAATTTCCTAGTTCACGACAAACCCATTGGAAGGGCTTAAATGAATAAAACATAAAGTGCATGAGTAATTCATGTTCATGGCCACAAAATAAAAATTCAAATAGCACCGAAAAAGATACAAGGAAAAGGCAAAATTCCCTCATTCTCAAATAAGCATAATAAACTCTGGCTCCTGGTTTAGCCAATAAGCTCCTTTCCTTTCGAGGATAATTTTTTTTTGTTTGTTTGTTTGAGGGGGGAGGTAATTAGGTTTATTTATTCATTAAAGATTTATTTTATTATTGAAATATAGTCAGTTTACAATGTGTCAATTTCTGGTGTATAGCATAATGTTTCAGTCATACACATACATATATTTCTTTTCACATTCTTTTTCATTATAGGTGCCTAGAAGATAATGGATATAGTTTCCTGTGTCATATAGTAGAAACGTGGTGGTGGTGTTTTTTTAATGGGGGTACTGGGGCTCGAACCCAGCACCTCCTGCATGCTAAGCATGCACCCTGCCCCTGAGCTATACCCTCCCCCCACCTTTTTCAGCATAACTGATCTGCTGTCTCTGTCTCTAGCATCCGCCTCTGGAGTCCTCACTGCTCCTGTGTGCACCCTGGCCCTTAACAACATGCAGGTCTTGAGACTTGAGTCTGCTCTCCCGCCCTGGCTTCAGCAGGGGCAGGTGCCCCTCTCTCGTCTCTCAGAGCATTCTGCGCGTAATTCCACAATGACAGTAATAAAGGAGCTAGCCACTGAGTCCAGCTTCTCTGATTCAGGCTCTGTTCCAAAGACCTCACATTCACCCATTTGCTCAACCATCTTCGATTGGTGCCATTGTTGTCCCATTACACAGATGAGAAAACTGAGGCACAAAGAGACAAATTCATTTGCCAGCGCCCTTCTGCTAGACTTGGATGATTTTCCTTCTTGCTGCAGGATTCCTGCACTCGCCTGAGGGTGCTGAGTGCCTCTCACTCATCATGCTCTATTGAACTCATGCTCTTGTTGCACTGCGGTCCTGCAGCCATGGTGAGAGCTAGGAAAGGAAGTCTAGGTGTTTCTTCTTCCTACAGCTCCTTCTGGGCAAGGCAAGGTACTTTTCCGCTTTGTGTTCGTGCCTGGCACACACCAGCTACTCCAAAAGTATTAGTTGAACAAGTGAGTCAGGGAGTAGAGTTTGTGCCTGTCTAAAGGAGTCAAAATCAGGATTTTATTATTTTTTTTGAAACTAAGACCTTGAAGAGATACCTGGTCCCATGTTCACTGTGGCATTATTCACAGCAGCCAAGATGTGGAAACGACGTAAGTGTCCATAAATAGAAGAATGGAAAAAGACAACCAAAGTGTCCCTCCACAGATGAATGGATAAAGAAGATGTACTATATATGCACAGTGGAATGTTATTCAGCCACCAGAAAGATGGAAATCCTGCCATTTGCAACAGCATGGCTGGACTTTGATGACATTATGCAAAGTGAGATAAATCAGACAGGAAAGACATACGGAATGGAGTCACTCGTACGTAGTATCAAAAAGTCAGATCTGTAGAAACAGAGAGTAGAATGGAAGTTGTCAGGAGCCAGGGAGAGGCAGAAGAGGGGTGCTAGTCAGAGGGTACAGTTTTGTCATGCGAGATGACTAAGTCCCAGAGACCTGCTTACAGCATAGAACCTACGGTTAATAATACTGTACCGTGTACTTAATAAAAGGGTAGATCTTATGTGTTCTCATCACACACACAAAATAATAATCATAATCGTAATAGGTGGGGAGACACTTCGTGAGGTGATAAATGCGTTTAAGGTCTAGATGGTGGGGATGGCTTCACAGGTATAGATTTACCTCAATAAAGTGGTTAAAAAAATAACAAGCGATTGTTGTGCTATCTGCTGACTGCCTTCCTGTGATGGCTTAAAAGTGCATAGGATCTGCGGTTTGACGCCAGGTCATGCCCTTGATTCTCTACCTACCACCTCCAAAGGGCTCTTCCATCCCTCACCTCTCCTTGTTGTCACAGCTCTCACGTGGCTGCTGTCAGAGTCAGAGGGAACATCCACCGAGCAGCAATTTCCTCTCATTCTTCACCCCAATGGCCACTGAGGAGAGGCCAGATCTCTGTGGCTACAGCCAGGCTCAGCACTGAGAACTTGTTTGGAAAATCCAGCGATGTGAGTAACCGTTAGTCTCTGCCTTTGCCTGTGATGCAAGCGTGCTCACTCCAGACTGAGGCCACATCCTTCCTGCCCCTGCTGGGCTGTGACTGCTATAAATTCATCTAGTTTCCTTTCTGGCTGTTCCTGAGGCTGGCATCTGGGTGAGTCCAGCTCTGTGGAGTGGGGTGGCTGAAAGGCCAGGGGAAGAATGGGGAGAGTGTGCCAAGGGCCAGGACTTGACTGGAGACTTCTTCTGCCAGCCTTCAAGTCTGTCCTTCAACAATGTTTCTCGAATGTTCTTTTATGTTTGCCAGTATTTGGGTGCTATGTGTGCAAATGCATGTGTGTGTGGTGGGGGTGGGGGGTGGGTAAGGACGGGAACTACAGTCGCAGCTTACGCCCAGGGCTCAACAATTGGCCAAGCATTCCCCCAGGGAGTGTTTAGATGGGATGCATACTAGAAAGTGAGCATCTTTAGAAACCAAGAAACAGAGGAGGTAAAGGTCAGAGCGAAGTGCGCTGAGGTAAGGGGTAGGGGAGCCCAGAGGGGAGGCTGAGTCCTGGTATGGATGGGAAGATTGATGGAGTAGGACCTAGGAGGGTCTGCAGAGCTGGGGGTCCCTGGAGTTCCCCCTCCCCTCCCATCACCTGCTAAATACATAAGGGGATGGATTTTGGGGGGGTGGTGGTGCATGAGGCCAGGAGTGAAGAGGCAAGAATGGAGATGGAAGGAGAGATGAGCATGACTGAGATGTCATGAACATGAAACTGCGGTCTTTATAAATTTCAGCTTGGAGATTCCTGCAGCTTCAGGGGCCTTCCTGCTTCCTTTAGCATCACTTATGGCTCTGGGCTGATGTCTTGCTTTACAAATTCAGTGATATGAAGGGATCAATCCCAAACAAAGCCAGCGCATTCCTCCACCCAAACTCTAGGAGATGTGTATGATCAAAAGACGTATAGCGTCGGATTTATAGTCTTTGCGGAACTCGAAGTCTAGTGAGGAAACCTGAGTGGGTGAACACTGTAACAGAAGACTGCCCATGTTCAATCCTGGGGAAGGGCTGCTTTTTAACCACCTATTTTATTGTCTTTATTTCTCCTCCTGTCTGTCTGAGATACCTACTTATATGGCAGAAGAAATGGTCTCACACATTTTCAGGCGGAGAAAAGTGCAATATTAGGGGCATGGCTCAGAAATCAGTGACCCTGTCTAAATCCTGGCTTTGCTCCTTCCTGTGTCACTCAGCCTGAGGCTCAGTCTCTACCTCCACAAAACGGTGCTAAAAATACAAAGCACCTCATCCGGCTTGGTGTGGGCTAGATGAGAAAAGGTATCAGTGCGGCACCTAGCCCATGAGAAGCCCATAATAAATGTGAGTGCTACTATCTATTTTGATTGTGAATTTTGCAAAGAGACATGAAAGAAATGTGTCTGTTATTCTCCCTTAAGCATCTCAACACCATCTCATTTCAGTTTTCATCAATCCATGGACTGATAAAGGACTGTTGCAGACCATCCCCTCCTTGGCATGTTTCTCTCTCCTTGTCTGTCTCTAGTTGCTCTTGTTATCACAATAATTACTCATTTCCTGGCCCATTTCTTCTTTTGTCCCTCATTCATCTGTCCTCGGGTCAAAACAGAAACAAGAAACCAGAGTCTTTCAGTTGGAAGGAATGTGAAAAACATCTTTGCCACTCTGGTATTTTATAGATGAGGAGACTGAAGTTGAGGGATAGTGAGGAGCTTGTCCAAGGTCATGTATACATAAGCCAGTAATCACTGGGAGCAAAGTTCTCTTGGCAATAGGTCAAGCTGGCATCATGAGGTGGTTGAAGGCGCCCATTGCGTTAACGTGATTGTTTTGGGGGTTTAATTATTGTTTCTCTCCAAAGAGACAGCTTTCTTCCATGGCTCAGGACGCACTCTTGGGTCGAGCTTATAGGAAAACCTGGTAAGTATTTGGTTCACTTTTCAAAACTAAAGAGGGCAACTTGTTATATAGTCTGGTGATACTTTTCTGGGTTTTTGATCGGTTAGTTCTCTCTGAGAGTGGACTTCTAAAAAAATATGTGTAGAGAGGTCATTAATAGTAAAATATACTTGTATGAGAAATTTCCTTTTTGGTGTGCACACTTTTTTTTTCTGCTCACTTTTAAATTTATTCAGATCTCTGCTCAGATGTCATTTTTGTTTTTATTTTTTGTTCTTGACTTTTTTATTGAAGTACAGTCAGTTACAATGTGTCAGTTTCTGGTGCACAGCATTAATGTTTCAGTCATACATACATGAACATCTATTCGTTTTCATATTCTTTTTCATTATAGGTTCTTACAAGATATTGCGTACAATTCCCTGTGCCATACAGGGTGGACTTTCAAGACGACTTCTTACGCATATGCTGTTTTCACCACCTGACTTCCCAGCGTGGACCTATGCTCAGGGACTCTGACCAGGGCTGCATCCAAACATGGCAAGCATCCGCTGCAAGCTGGCTCGTTACCTGGAGGACCTGGAAGATGTAGACTTTAAGAAATTCAAGATGTACTTAGAAGACTATCCTCCGCAGAAGGGCTGCGTCTCACTTCCTCGGGGTCACACAGAGAAAGCAGACCATGTGGATCTAGCCACTCTGATGATCGACTTCAATGGGGAAGAAAAGGCGTGGGCCATGGCCACATGGATTTTTGCTGCAATCAACAGGAGAGACCTTTACGAGAAGGCTAAGAGGGAGGAGCCAGAATGGGGTGAGTGGAAGGAAAGCAAGTACTTTTTTAAATTGTAATAAAATACAAGTAATACAAAATTTGCTATTGATCGTTTTTAAGTATATGATTCAGTAGTATTAAGCACATTTACATTGTTGTGCAATCTCCAGAACTCTTTTTGATATTGCAAAACTCTGTACCCATTAAACAAGAATTACTCATTCTGCCCTCCCTTCAGCCCCTGGTAACCACCACTTTGTGTCACTATGAATTTGACTATTCCAGTATTTTTTTTTAAAAATGTTGGGGGGGTAATTAGGTTTATTTATTTATTTTTAACTTCTTTATTTATTTTTTTTAATGGAGGTGCTGGGGATTGAACCCAGGACCTTGTACATGTTAAGCATGTGCTCTACCACTGAGTTACACCCTCCCCATTATTTCAGTACCTTTTATGAGTGGAATCATACAGCATTTGTCTTTTTGTGTCTGGCTTATTTCACCTAGCATAAACATCCTTAAGCTTCATCCGTGTTGCCACCTTTTTTTTTTTTGCCAATAATTTTTATTCAATTGTGGAAGCCTAAGGTAAAAAGCGTAGGCAACAAACTTTACCAATCAATAAAAAGCCATTCTGCCAATCCACTGGTAACATGCTAGATAGAGTTGGAAAGCATTCTACTGAAAGCAAAATATTTAGAGAAAATAGACATCCATACAAAATTATAAAATGCTTGCAATTAAAACAAAGGCACCTCCAGGAAGGCACAGCCCATTTTAACTCGTAAAGCCAGTGAAAACCCTAAAAAAACTTACATGGACACTGAAACACACAGAAATGTACAATGTGTGGACACGGTGCCCCCAAGCCACATGAAGTCAGTTTTATAGACATAAGTCTTCTGTTTTCTAACGAATTGTTACGTTTACCCTGTTTTTATTTCCAACCTTGTATTGTCCACACTGGCATATCTAAAGTCACTTGAAATGTATCTATAGTGCCAAAAAAAACAAAAAAAAGAATCAGCAAGTCAAGTCAGGAGGTGCAACATGGGTGTAACAAGGGAGAGAAAAATAATATGGGGGCAGGAGGTAGGGGTGTGTATACCAGTGGGATGTTTTCAACAAGCCGTGTGTAATAACGCAATTACAACTGTGTCAGTGCTTACGTACATAAATAACCAAATTAAACCGTAATAATCACAGTTGCAGAAGTAGTTTGCTGAGCAGTTTTTGTGGGTTTTGTTTATTCCTCACCAGAACCCCAGGAAGCCTGCACTTTTCCAAATGCACTATCAATTTCATTACACTGAGGGAAATTAGCCCGTCACAAAAAGACAAATACTTTATGCTTCCATTTATAAGAGGTACCTAGAAGAGTCACGGTCATAGAGACAGAAAGTGAGGGTTGCCAGGGGCCCTAGGGAATAGGGAACAGGGAGTTGTTGCTTACTGGGTATAGAGTTTCAGTTTTAGAGGATGAAAAAGAATTCCAGAGATGGTTGCACGACCATGTGAAGTGAGCCTGGAAGAGGTTCTGGTTGTGTGTGGCTCTGTTCTAGTCAGAGCCCAGGCTGGGATTCAGTGCCAAACGTGTCTCTGGCAGAAGCCTGGCTCTTAACCACTATGCCGTTTGGCTTCCACATCTGGGTTTTGGGACGGAAGAATTCTAACTAGGGGTAGAAGTATTTTGTGTTTTGTGTGTGTGTGTGTGGTTGGGGGGGGGGTCAGTGGCTAAGGTTAGGTTTCAGGTAAGAATTAAGTTTTGATCTTGGTGTGAGTTAATGTTTAGATTTTGTTTTGTGGTTTTGTGTGTGTTGGGTTAATAGCATTTGCACTCAGAATAGGCAGACAAGACACCGATCAGGAATGCTTTATGTAGCTCTTGGGTTCCTGCCCACCTAAAGGCGTGTGTCCCATCTATTTCCCCTGGTACCTAGCTCTTGTTCTGCTGTGTCTAATTTCTCCTGTAGGACACCTCTTTGGGATGTGTTATTTAGCGATTGTTTAGATTGTGATTGTCAACTGTGGATGCACGTTGGAGCTTTTAAGATACAATGGTGCCTGAACGGAGAGGGTATAGCTCAGCGGTAGAGTGCCTGCTTCGATGCATGAGGTCCTGGGTTCAATCCCCAGTACCTCCCTTAAAAATAAATAATAAATAAATAAGGAAATAAACCTAATTACCTCCCTCACTCCCTCCCCAAAATATAATGGTGCCTGGGCTCCACCTCAGAGAACTGAAAAAGGATCACTGTGGGTGGAGTCCTGGAATCAGTTTTTGTTTTAATTTTATTTTATTGTGTTATAGTCATTTTACAAGGTTGTGTCAAATTCCAGTGTAGAGCACAATTTTTGTTATATGTGAACATACATATATTCATTGTCGCATTCTTTTTCACTGTGAGCTACCACAAGATCTTGTATGTATTTCCCTGTGCTGTACAGTATAATCTTGTGTATCTATTCTACACATTTTTAAAGCTTTCTAGGTGAATCTAAAGTCAGCCGGGATTCTGAATACTGAGTTAGACATAAGCCAGGTTGTTTATTCTTACTCTTGAAGACTCAGAATGTGGGGAAGATGAATTCCAGGCCTTTAGGGTCAAAGAAGGATGATCCTGCTGGCCTTTGGCCATCCTGGGGATATTGAAGAGTGGGGCGATGGCCTCAAAACCGGAGTACCAGGGAGGGAGTCTGCCAAAGTCAAGTAAGGCTAAAAGAAAACTTGCCTGCCGCACATATTTGCCATTTAATTTCCAGGCCTGGGAGGCAGATTCTGTGGCTGGGTACAGTGCGGACACAATGCTATTGCTCTGACGTCAGGAGTACAGGAATGCTCCCAAAGGGACATCGACTGAGCTGTGCTTTGGTTTGGGAGATGTTCAGGGCAGGTGCCTTTGACTGGTGCCAGGTGTCAGATATTGGCTCTCAATTACATCACCTTAATCAGGAGTCCTGGTTTTTGACACTGTGTTTTCCTTCCTTTTATTCTCAGACAATGCCAATGTTTCTGTGATATGCCGGGAAGAAAGCCTTGAAGAGGAGTGGATGGGTTTACTCGGATTCCTTTCCAGAATCTCTGTTTGTAAAAAAAAGAAAGGTAAGCCGGTGGGAGGGGTGAGGGTGGGGCAGGTAGCACTTCCAATTGGGTTTGGAGACCTGGTTCGGTAGGTACTCGAAGCTGGAAAGCTGAACAGCTTGGTGATTCTAACATGTTCCTGCTCCCTGGGGTGCAAAATCCTGTCTCAGGAAATCCACTTTAGCTGAAGGGATATAGATGAATGTTTGCACAGCTCCTGGCAGTCCCAGAACCAAGGGGAGGCAATCGAGCGTTTCTGGTTTTGAAACACATGAGCTGCAGACTATCTAACGGAGTAAGATTGAATAAAAAAGGATTTTCTGGCCAGGCGCAGTGCATATAGCACTTTGCTTTTCTTCTGCCGTGCATAGGAGGAGTTTGACATCCTGGATTTTCTGGGTCCGTCCATACCCAAGCAGTGGAGGGAAATGGCATCTCATCTCCCGTTTCTCAGTTCCAGTGACCGCTCCTTACCGACCCACAGGTCCCTGCTGATAGCTCATCGCTGGGTGGATGTGCTCAGGCTTCTTCCAAAGTCTAACTTTCTGTCTCTGCTGCAGATTACTGTAAGAAGTACAGGAATCACGTACGAAGCAGATTTCAGTGCATCAAAGACAGGAACGCCCGTCTGGGTGAGAGCGTGAACCTCAACAAGCGTTTCACCCGGCTGCGTCTCATCAAGGAGCATCGGAGCCAGCGGGAGAGGGAGCACGAACTCCTGGCCATTGGGAGGACCTCGGCCAAGATGTGGGATGGACCCGTGAGCTCCCTGAACTTGGAGACGCTGTTTGATCCCGAGGACCAACACTCTGATCCTGTGCACACGGTGGTGTTCCAGGGAGCAGCGGGCATCGGGAAGACAATCCTGGCCAGGAAGATCATGCTGGACTGGGCATCAGGGAAGCTTTACCAGGACAGATTTGACTACTTGTTTTACATCCACTGCCGGGAGGTGAGCCTCGGGACCCAGAGGAGCCTGGGGGACCTGATCGCCAGCTGCTGCCCTGACCCATACCCACCCATAGGCAAGATCGTGAGCAAGCCTTCCCGGATCCTCTTCCTCATGGACGGCTTCGATGAGCTGCAAGGTGCCTTTGACGAGCACACGGAGGCCCTCTGCACGAACTGGAAGAAGGTGGAGCGGGGAGACATTCTCCTGAGCAGCCTCATCAGAAAAAGACTGCTCCCGGAAGCCTCCCTGCTCATCACCACGAGACCAGTGGCCCTGGAGAAACTTCAGCACTTGCTGGGCCTGGCTCGCCATGTGGAGATCCTGGGTTTCTCAGAGGCCAAGAGGAAAGAATATTTCTTTAAGTATTTCTCAGATGAGCAGCAAGCCAGGGAAGCCTTCCGGCTGATTCAGGAGAATGAGATCCTCTTCACCATGTGCTTTATCCCCCTGGTCTGCTGGATTGTGTGCACTGGGCTGAAACAGCAGATGGACAGTGGCAAGAGTCTTGCTCGGACGTCCAAGACCACCACTGCCGTCTATATATTCTTCCTCTCCAGTTTGTTGCAATCTCAAGGAGGGAGCCGGGAGCACCAGGTCTCCGCCAACCTCCGGGGTCTCTGCTCGTTGGCTGCAGATGGCATCTGGAACCAGAAAATCCTATTTGAGGAGTGTGATCTCAGGAATCACGGCCTGCAGAAGGCAGACATGTCTGCTTTCCTGAGGATGAACCTATTCCAAAAGGAAGTGGACTGTGAGAAATTCTACAGCTTCAACCACATGACTTTCCAGGAGTTCTTTGCTGCCATGTACTACCTGCTCGAGGAGGAGGATCAGGGGGAGAGGAGGAACGCACCGTGGAGCTGTTCCAAGCTTCCCACCCGGGACGTGACCGTCCTTCTTGAAAACTACGGCAAATTTGAGAAGGGGTATCTGATTTTTGTTGTCCGTTTCCTCTTTGGTCTTGTAAACCAGGAGAGAACGTCCTACCTGGAGAAAAAACTGAGTTGCAAGATCTCTCAGAAAATCAGGCTGGAGCTGCTGAAATGGATCGAGGCGAAAGCCACGGCCAAGAAGCTACAAACTGAGCCCAGCCAGCTGGAACTGTTCTACTGTTTGTATGAGATGCAGGAGGAGGACTTTCTGCAAAGGGCCATGGTCCATTTCCCCCAAATTGAGATCAACCTCTCCACTAGAATGGACCACGTGGTTTCTTCTTTTTGCATTGAAAACTGTCGCCATGTGGAATCACTTTCCCTGAGGCTGCTCCATAACTCACCCAAGGAGGAGGAGGAGGAAGAGGAGGAGGAGAAAGGGGAGGAGGAAGGGGTTCAATACTCTGAAGTGGACCACAGTGAGCCCCCTGTTGCATATTCTCAGCGGTAAGGTGACAGGAGATGTCTTCTTTCTAGCCGCCTTCCCTTGCTCCCTCTCCCCTCTTCTCAGCTGTCTTGCAAATGCAGTTGCCACAGCTACATAATGATGCTACCTCCTCCCATTTCTACCAGACACCTTCATTGGCAGATAGGGGACTAGTAGGGGAAGGGTAGGTGGACAAATGGCTTGAGAAAAAACTCAAGGAACCAATGAGCAAATGTTTGGTGGATGTGAATTTAGCACCAGGTATTATGTGGGGAAAAGAATTGTGTAAAAATGTCAACTCAGATTGCTTGCAATTTACTTGGGGCTTTCGTGCATAATTGCCTGTCAGTACCTAAGGGGCAAAACAGCCCCAGTGACCCTGCTCAGGAACACAGAGGACAGAGGGCTCTTAGCGCTGGATGCTGGCGGTGGGGGAGGGTCTCGGAGGAGTGAAGCTTGAGCCTGCCTTGAAGAACTGATAGGATGTGGGTGAGTGGAGGAGAAGGTAAAGGGATTTTGGCAGTGCAATCTGGTATGAAGTCATCAGTGTGGTCTGAGAAAGAGTGTTTATGTTGGGGAAGATGGGGAGGGAATGTGGCTTCACTGGAACAACCAATGAGGGGAAGTCAAGGGACATGGGGCTCGAAAGGAGAGAGTGCTTCGAGGCCCCCACCTTGTGTTTGCAACCAGGCATTCACCAACAGCCACCCCCTTCAGGCTCTGTTCACCCACCTGCTAGGGAGTTAGAAGCCAATTTGCTGTGTCTGTACAGTAAAGCGGTTGAGTTACCTGACTTCTAAGTCCCTTCACGGAAACTGTCACAGCTACAGTGGCTACGGGGAGGTGGCGGCTCTGAATGCTTGGGGTTTTTTTTTTTTAAATTGAAGTATAGTCAGTTTACAATGTTGTGTCAGTCTCTGGTGTACAGCAAAAAGTTTCAGTCATACGTATAGATACATATATTCATTTTCATATTCTTTTTCATTAAAGGTTACTATGAGATATTGAATATAGCTTCCTGTGCTATCCAGTATGAACTTGTTGTTTATCTATTTTATATATAGTAGTTAGTATCTGCAAATTTCAAACTCCCAATTTATCCCTCCACCCGCATCCCCCTCCCAGGATGAATGGCCCGTGAACCCCACTGGC